AAGGCGTGACAGTTACGAGAAAACCAGGGAGCGGGGGTTAGCATGGTCAAAGTGATAAAAACAGTGCCCGGAAGGTCCTCAGTGCGTTTTCGCGAGATCCGAAGATTTTGTCGCGTTATGTTGCAAAATCCGTACGGAGATCGCAGTTTTTCGTACAAAAGGTAAAGCGGAAAGCTTCATTGAGATGTTCTACAGCTCAAACAGCGCCAGACCGAGGCGCAAAGTATAATGTTACAGCGAAATCCCGCATTCGGAAGTTGTATGAATTCTAAATTAAAAAATACAACTGCATTGTTATGGACTGCGAAACCTACTGCTACAAGAATTCAAAATATATTGCAGGTCAAGATTTTTATACTGCTGCAAGTCGTCCAGATGCCCCTGAAAGTTGTAAGCTGAAAATGAAGTCCAAATTTCGAAAAACCACATGGTTTGGCAAGCTATTTGTTCCTGCGGCCGTAAGAGCAGCCCTTATTTCCCATCCGGGACAATGAATGATCAAGTTTATCGGGATGAGTGCCTCAAAAGGCGTCTTCTGTCATTTATCAACAGATAAGGAGAAGGCCATCGTTCTAGGCGGACATGGCAACCTGCCACTATGCCAAGGACACATTGCCGTGGTATAATGCAAATAACGTCAATTTTGTATCTCACGACTGCAATCCACCCAATAGCCCAGAGCCACGTCCTATTGGGGAATATTGGTCAATTGTCACAGGAATCTTGAAGAAAACAGGTGAAAGAGTGAAAATTATTGAAGAGTGCAAAACAAAGTAGTTGTGCGCATCGCGTAATGTCGATGATGCAGTCGTGCAGAAAATGATGGCGCGTGTGCGATGAAAATACCGATCACTTGCATATGGAGCAAATAATAACTAATATTTTAACATTTTAATAACATCTAAACTTCCAAGTTATATAACACAAAAAAAAAATAATTTCAAAGCCTTCTAGAGTGTTTCTGGTAGTAATTTCTAAGTGTCGCAGTTTTGGTGTGTTCACCCTTTAGGTATAATCGTAAATTTCGAAGATTGATCGAAAGGAAACGGAACGCAGAATACCAAAGTTGCCAAACGAAGAAAATTTCGATTCGATTCGAAATGCAGAATAGGACGGAATAACTCGACTCCAGCGCCACTTGACAGCACTTATTTGCAATAGTATTGCTCTTACCATTACCAATACATGGTGAGTGTCGATCCTTTTCTCGCGGGTCTTTTCCAAGATTTGGCGTATT